GGGAGGGAGGGAGGGAGGGAGGGAGGAGAGGGGTTGAGGGGGGCAGGGGAAGCAGACAGGATTTAAAAAAAAAAAGACAAGGTCTGAGCCGTACGATGAAAAAATAAAAATTCCATCATTTCTCAAGTGATTGAGCCGACGTTACCTCCCTCTCCCTCCCTCTCCACCAAAATCATACATCGCTATCTCAAGTGCTAGAGCCTATGTTACCTCCCTCCACCTCCCCCTCCCCCTCATCCGCCCTTTTTCCCCCCTCGCGCTCCCTCCCGTCGCGACTCTCTCAATCCTGACCTCGAATCCTTCTCCTCATTGCCATTGCCCGCGGGATCGTCTCCTCCTCCGCCGTCGAGGGAGGTGGGAAGGCCACCGCCCCGACCTCCGCGACCATTTGTTCAGGGGCGTTACAATCGACCAGGCAGATTCCTCGGTCGCTAAAAGGGTCCGTCGCGCCTGGGATGCGTGGGAAAAAGGGAGGCAGCCCTTCTTCGTCCCCACCGAGAATGGCCCCGGGCATATGCCTTCCTTTCTCGCGTAACCAGGATTGATAACCTGCGTATTCCAATGCAAATGTGATTTCACCGTTCAGTGACTCCTCGGCGCGCGCAGCCGTGCCGTTGAACAAATATGCAGCGCCAATGGCACTCGCCACGCTGTCCATGTCTAGAAAGGGTCAAGTGTAGGGAAGGGTTAGGAAAAGAGTCAGGGACCGGGGGAAAGGAGACAGGACAATGGGGAGGAAGCAGACAGGATGCCACATGGCCCCCAGCAGTGACAATCGTCGCGTACCTGTATTTGTGTGCCCGACGAAAATGCAGCCCTCAAGTCCATTGACCACTGCAGTGGAACGTTCGATTTCAGCAGTGGGATGGTCATCCTACCCAGCAATTAGGTGCGGATTGATTATAAAAAGGGTACGAAGAAGGAAAATTGAGCGCATGAAAAAGCACTGTGCGGTGGACAGCAGGGCTCACCAGCGAAGATACGCTCGCACGCTCATCTAGTTTCCTAGCTAGAGAGCTAGCCCAGCTCCAGTACTTTTCCTAGGAGATAAGCCCATGTAGGAGAAAATTGAAGAAATTAATTTCGAGAAGAAAAGGGGCAAATGGCACACGCGTACCTGTGCTTCCGCCAACTCGCTCGGATCCTGAATTTCTCCCCATTCCGGTTTGGTTAGATTACGGCCTGGATAATCCAAGGACATGTGCAGTCTGATGAGGCGATTTTCTTGTCACACAGTGCCGGAAAAAAGCGTAAATATCTACCTGGAAGCGAACCACGTTTTTGGAAAGGGTGAGGGTTTGATGGGGGTTCCACGGGTGTAGAAGCCGGTAAAATGCCCGACATAAGTTGAGACCCCTGTGCTGTGCGTTTGAAATGTACTTTATCAGTCTTCGTGCGGTACAGTGCTTCTGCAGGTTTCTTTACGGAGATCTGATATGCTCCCAGCAGCTCACATTGGACAGATCTTTGTGAGACTATTAACCTCTCCGAATAAAATTAAAAAATGACGTATGTTTGTGTCAATCTTTGGTGTCTTAGAGAATTTGGACGTGACTGACTGCTTGTATGCTTTGATATCATTAGATTATGATAAGTGATTTTCAGGTTTGATCTTCCCAGGTATGGGTTGGGCTCAAACCCCGCTAAGCCGGGTTTAAGCGAAAATTGCCCCCGCATAGTCGAAGCCTTAGGTGAAGAAGTCATTCCCCGCAAAACGTAATGTGCATCTCACCACGCTCATCCTCTAGATAAGTCCCTTGCACATTATTTTTTTTGGGGTAAAGGTTTGTCCTTTGCTTAGAAGCGGGCTCAGGCTGCCAACGGCCGGTACGGATAAAAGGAGTTGGGGAGGTTACTTTACGTGTACATCTTTCCAAAGGTGAAAGGAGTCATACAGACCACTGTTTTTCATTTCGTTGTTCATTTTTATAAGGTGTCCCTTCTCTTTTTTACATTGACGCCTTACACGCCCCTTTTACTCTTTTTGAGTCGTTTCCTCTCCCTCAAGATGGAACTTATCATTTAACTGCTTTCTCGCATATACGTGAAGATTTCAAGCTCAAAGCATTTATGTACGACAATCATATTCTCCGCTTCCTCCAACCCCCTTCGTTCGTAATCCTACAGCGAGGTCGTTTGTATTCGGTGTTGCCTTTCTTACAACGTATAAGCACTTTATTCTTTTAAATCTCCTACACCATGAGATGTGATCTCTTCCAGGGCTTGAGAAATAATCGTTTCGGTGTAAGAAACAAAATTATTTTTCGAAGCAATTATCAAATTTCAAAGCAGAACAGTACAACAGGCAGCAATAGAAAAACATTTTGCGGTGCAGGACTGGATTCTTTTTCGTTACGGTCACTATTTCGGCGCCTCGGAAGCAGGAAAATTGTAACCCAGTGGTCAATTTCAAGAAGTTCTACTCAATGCTTTCAGTGACCTCCCTCGTGCCTTCACGCCTTCATCCTCAATTGGACCGAGGGAATACGGGACTCGTGCTCCCAAGGCGCCTCCTGATAAAAGCAGGTACGCCATACTCAATCGTATTGTGGATGTTTGCAACCCTCCTCTTCCTCGCCTACGCTGCCGTCCTGCTTCATACCTTTCGAGGGTCCGCTCCTCGCTCATTTTTCTAGCACACAGTGCCCTCGCTTCCTTCAGATTATTCGTACACCCCGCTTTCTGGCAGCAGATCACCACCTACCCCATGAGCCACCAAGATATCATACCTTCTCTTCGTCTCACGCTGCTCGATTCCCACATCTTTGTTTTCGTCCCTATTTCCGTTGCACCGCCCCGTTCATGCTTTCTGCATACTTCTCCTTGGCCTCCCGCTCTAGCTCCGCATTGACCTATTCAGAGAGAAAGCGTCCCAGACGGACAGGGGGAGCGGGGTTCAGGCACCGGAAACAGAAGCGTGTATGAGCCACGGGAATGACGTTTCTGACCACCATCAACGCTCGATCCTCCTTCACTCGATTCCCTCCGACTCTGCCCTAAATCGGTACCTTGCCGGTCACAGGGTCCGTTCCCAACGGCCGTCGGAAGAGCAGAATGTGAGGCTCTGGCCTGGGACACGAAGGAAGGGAGGGATTAAAAATCCCCACAGGGGGAAGAATACGCCAGAATAAAGAGGGCTTCGTGCCCTTGACGAAGGGGATGGGATGGGCCCCTGACCGCGGCAGGAGCCTGGAGGGACGGGAAACAAAGCCAGCCGGGGACAAATCAGGCTTACCTGTGGATGGCGTAGTGTTGCCAACCTCGGGACTGCTGGACGCCAATGCCTCGCCACTCCGACTCGGTCAGCAAGCGCTGCTTGGGCAGAGAGCGGGCAAGCTCCTGGAGAGGATGGGAGAGGAAGGAGAGGGGGGTGGGGTCAACCAAGGCGTAAGGGAGGGGGGGCGACCCGCCGACGTCCCACAACCCACACCCAGGACCGTTTCTCCCTGTCGCTCTGACGCCAGATCTATGCCTGGCTAGCGCTTCCTAGAAAAGGGCTTTGGATGCACGCTGTTCCGTCTCGGGTACGGATGGATTTGGGGTCACGAGGCGGCAAGCCCTCGGCATCAAGCTCGACCCTATAGGCGACAGGGCGAGCACGCGGGAGGGCAGCTAGACAGACAGGCATTGATTGGGACATATAAACGAACCTTGGGAAGGATGACGTGCCTATATTCGTGATTATCGTCCATGTATTTCTCTGAATACTCGATACGGCTGGCCATGACTGCGAAAGGTTGGCTACGGCACACTTCTTCGCCTTAGTGTGGCTGCTGCTGGAAATGAAAAATGGGTGATTACATAGATTAAAATAGTAGGGAGACCAACGATTGGCAAAATCATGCTTTCTGCGATGGCTTCGTGAGATCCATCCAGTGCTTGTCGCGGAGGTCAACGAGTCTCTTTACCTTGCCCGTCACTGTAGGGTCGGCGGTATTCTTTATCTGGATGCCCGACACCTTCTCTCCCGCCGTCTTCAACAATCCTGGATATGAGGATAAATACACAGGGATGGAGAAGGGTGAGATCCTTGAGTCATTTCATTATTAATTTAGGGCGCCCCAGGTTCGATGCTTGTGAGAGTACGCGTCCAAAAACCTTTCTACGATATCAGTCGAGTTGAGAGCCCTTCGGACTCGCATCTCCTTCCTGTCTGGAAGCCCTAGTATCACACTTTCATTTTGCGTATAAAAATGATCGGCTGCTGCTCTGCTTCGGCACGAAAGGGTTGCGACATGGTTGAAAGGTGGGGCTGATGACCGTCTGCGATTTGATTATGCCTGTCTTTAATGCAGGCAAGCTGCCCAAAGCTCAAGCCACCCTTGCTTACATGTACCAGTGTCACCCATTTTCTCATTCATTTGTACATTCATTGACAAGAGAGTGATATTACATGCCATAAATACTGGCAGAATACCGCAACATCTCGCCCTCGTCACGAGCGGTGCGTCCACTTTGTTCACCCCCACCAACTTACAAGCTCATGTCACGTACACAAACCAACAATGTGCGAGAGCCCAGGTAATTCGCCACATAGACGCGAGAAGCATGTAACACAGAGATGGCGTGGCAATAGAAGATGCCAACTGAAGGACTAGTGTTTCTAGGTTCGAGAAAGACAATTCAATGCTCGACGGCAGCAGCGCGCGGGAGATGGCACATACGGGTGGGAACCCGCAAAATTACACTTTGCTTTAACAAACGCATGACTGCGCGCGATTGAAACCTATTGTACGCTACCATAGTAGTAATGATTTGAAATGTATTTTTTGGAGTAATTCATCTTTGCTTGCTGGCAATGGAGCATCATGATAAATCGGCTAAAAACATGCAAACGAGAAATGTTGACCGTAGGATAAAAGTCATTCGAGAGAACTCTGCACAATTTGTCTGCTTTACAAACATTGAAATAAACCGATACACTGAAAATTTGTAATGGTGAAGGCCGTGCAATCATCAATGAATCGTACCTACAAATCGTTTGTCGTTGTTGTTTGCTTTTCCCCTAGCTCACGGTCGCCTCAGCACAGTCCCTATGCCCAAGTCGCGTAATTCGTGTTGCTTTGAAATCTATTTTTTCGTAAATGTCCGCTATTTTCATATCATTTTGTCCCAGGGTCTGCACTTTATCCTATAATTTTTCTGGATTTCCCTTGTCCCGTATCCCATATTCGAATTTCCCGATAGTCTGGACGTTGGCTTTTGCGTGCCGCTCCTTTGCCTTTCCTTTTACATGGTAAAAGCCACTTTCAAGTCAATAGGATGGGCTGTCGAGAGCTGAGGAATCTGCGTGTATTTGCCTGAGGCAGCAGGAAAGGGTGAGAAAAAGAATTGAATCAAGCCCTGTACACATGACGCTGAGGCATATATGAGAGATTACTTCAAAGGACAAGGGTTCAGACACTGTTTCTCAACAGACAGGAAGGCCAGCACTGAGGAAATCGTAAAGTGAAGGAGGGCACACGCTTGCGCAGCTCCATCGCGCACTGACCCTCCAGAACCTTCCGCATGCTTTGGAGGAGGTCTGTATAGGTTTGCTTTGAATTTTCGCGGAGGCAGGTGAGGAGGGCGTACGAGGCGGCGCCGGTCGGTTGTCCTGAATCGTGAAGAAAAGAAAGGAAGGGAGGGAGGGAGGGAGGGAGGGAAGGAGGGTTCATGGCAAACACGCCGTGAGTACGGGTGGCATCCGTCGAGCTTCGCATGCCCGGGCCCCGCCCTGTCATTCCCTTCATTCCAGTC